AAAACAGAAAAACCAAAAAGGGCGCAACACTAGGTAGGCTGACTGGCCGGGTCGAACGACCCAGGGAAGGTGACAGGGAAAATCGTGTGACAATGGATGCAAAGGGCGAAAAACTAATTAATAGCTGAGGAAACAAAAACATTTTTTACTTACATTTTAAATCATGGGACCAGAGGATGGACGGCCTGTGTGAAGGATCGGGTCATCCGTGGTGTCTATCTGAAGTTGGTGTGCCGGAAGATGTGCATCCACACGGGGAGAGGAGACTGTGGACGAGGGGGAAAAGGGGGGGAGAGGAACCAGAAGAATGGGGACTCAGTCCGTGGCCCGCTGAGTGGGTCCAGGGGCTAAGTAGTGTGGGGGAGAATCAGCGGTGTCAGAAGCAGGCTGAATGGCTGTGGCCGCGGCTGTGGATCGTGATGCTCGGTCACTGTCAGCGCAGACTGGGGCAGTGTGCGGGAGCCGTTGGTTGAAAAATTGTCGGCTGTCAGTCGGGTCTGTGATGGAAAGAGGGTGGTAGCGGGATGGAAGGGCAGTGAGCAACGCGTTTCGAGGAGTGATACCTTTTTTTTTTTTCCTTCACACCGGCCGTCCATCCTCTGGTCCCATGATTTTAAATGTAAGTAAAACATTTTTTTGTTTTCTCAGTATTAATTAGTTTTTCGCCCTTTGCATCCATTGTCACACGATTTTCCCTGTCACCTTCCCTGGGTCGTTCGACCCGGCCAGTCAGCCTACCTAGTGTTGCGCCCTTTTTGCTTTTTCTGTTTATGGAGACATTAGGGGTCTCTAGGATCCCTAATGTCACCTGGGGACCCCAAAAGAAGCTGATGAAGCAGAGATCTGCTTCATCAGCTTCTTCTCTCTGGCTATAGCAGCCAGATGACTGACGTGTGAATGCGGAAGTGATGTAATACACATCACTTCTGCTTTCACAGCACGGAGGGAGCTCAACAAGGAGGAAGATGCTGATCTCCCACACATCTTACCTCCTGACACCCTCCCGAGCCGGTCCTGGGCCACAGATGGGGCAGCGGATCCCGGGATTGAAGGTGAGGGGTCAGGAGGGAGGGGCGACGGCAGCGGCAGCACGCGAGGGGGGGAAGGGGGGCATGCAGCCAGCACATATACACGATCGGCAGGCTATAGAGCCGCCGATTGGGTATATGTGAAACAGCCGGTAACGGCTCTTTACATTGGACGTGTTTTTTCTGCCCGTGCGCTAGGGGGCGCGCACGAGCAGAAAAAAAATGCCGTCTGGAGACGGCAACCCGCCAATGCGACTGTGCCGTTCGTCCGGTTTTTTGCAACGGGCGGACAGCAACTGGTTAATACTTTGAACCACTAACCTGCAACAAGCATGCAGTTAAAACCCCATTGGATTAGCATAATAGCCAGCAAACTATAAGTCAGCAGGTTTTTTAAATATGTCTTCTGTTTCCAGTGATCCACCATTGCAAAGCTTTGCAGCAATCTAGGAGCCCACTTCATATCCCATCCCATATCCATCTCCTAACCGGAAAAATCCAAACTGATTGGAAACGGGTGCTGCAGTGTCTGCGGATGGTGACGCAATTACATCAGTAGAAAATGAAGAGATCACTGGCACTCCAAGGTGCAAGAATGTCAAACCTCCTTTATTGACATTTCAGAAGGTCTCGCAATGTGTGGCAACGTTTTGGAACCTAACCTGGTTCCTTCCTCAGGCAAACAAAGTGACTGAAGATAGATTTGATTGTTTTGCTGGAGTTATCCAATGTAAATGCAGTTATACTTCAACAATCATTGGGAGTGCAGAAAGGGTAGGCCATATACAAAGCTCAGTCCATATCACATCGCACTCCTAACCTGCAAAATGCAAACTTATTGGAAGCAGGTGCTTCAGTGATTGTGAAGGGCGCTGCAATTCCATCAGTAGAAAATGTAATTGCGGCGCCATCCGCACTTTGCCTGAGGAAGGAACCAGGTTAGGATCCGAAATGTTGCCACACATTGTGAGACCTTCTACAATGTCAATAAAGGGGGGTTGACATTCTTGAACCTTGGAGTGCCAGTAATCTCTTCATTTTCTACTAATCTAGGATCCCAGTGACAATTTCTGCAGCCCATGTTGAGCCTGTAGCCCAGATCATTTTACAGTGGTTGTGTTTGCAAGCTTTTAAGACTTTGCTCCAAAAATATAAGCTTCCAGTCTGACCTCCGCAAAAGTACTCCTATCTGGAGGGAGGGTTGGGCATGAAGTAGTGGAACTTTAGCCCTACACATTGCATGTATGCAGGCATAGACTTGTTATATATGGGTGACAGGGTGGGTTTTAAGCACAATGTAGCCCTGTGCATAAGATTAAAGTGTATTTCCACTTCTGCATTCAAATTTGAGAAAACCCCTCTATATGTTTGTTATGTGTTCCCATTCACACAACATAAGGAAAAATAATTAAAAAAAAATATTTCTTACCTTTTTAGATGTTTTGCTGCAGCAGACAACATGGCTGAATCATGGTTTTTCTGAGCACATTCACATTGATCTGTTCTTATAGAAAGACTTAGGACTGAAATATGAGGATTGGGTTTCTCTCATTAACTTCATTAACATTTGAATGCAAAAGCCAGAGTTGTAATCCTTTAACCCTTTGTTAGGACAGCCGGTGTGCAAATCTACCTTACAAATCATAATGAAATGAGCCAGCACAGTACAGATAGGGTCAACAAACCCCTCACCCTTCACAACCCCTTCTAACATTACAAAAAAAGAAGCAAGTAGAAATTTTAACGTCTTTACCACCTGCTGTGGAGATCCTATTGTTTACAGAGATCAATAGTTCAAGCTGACTTTTGCACACAACTCACAACACACATCCATTATTGAAAAAAGCTCAGCCTAAAGTTAACAGTAGATTTTTTGATATTTCACTTAAGGTTGACACTGCAGGACAAAATGCTGTTTGTCCTGCAGTGAAATCACACCACACAGGTGCAATCTCACCTTGTGCATATGGTTGTCTTATGGACATGTATTTTTTAGATAGAAGTAAATAAAACTCGACTCCAGCTAACACTTTTTACGCAGTTACAGCAGCAGGTTTTTTTTTTCTTTTGAAAAAAGGGCTTAAACCATATGAATAAAAGCTGAACGTTGAAAGCACCCATGGTTTGTCCCAACCCTGTAACTGTCACTTTTTCTGGACAACTCGTTCTCCATGTAAAGGTGGAAAAACAAATATACTAATACAGGTGACATTTTTTTTAAAAAGGAAGTAATATACTGAATACCACTATTACAGATATTACCTCCATATTACCAAAATGCAATACTTTTTCTTATAGTGGCCCTTGAATTGTGACTTGTCCATCAGCATAGAGTAGACAAGCTTTTATTTTTTCTAGGAAGCTTTTAGTATTTTCTAGGAAAATCTGTTTAGTCAATTATTTCTGTAAATGGAAGTAAATAAATGAATCTTCTGCATAAACCTGTATTAGAAACACTGTGGAGTGCCTGATGTACTTGTTTCCACAGGAAGAGCACATTTTGTTCCAGTTGGAAGAGGGAATAGATGCTTTGGAGGCTGCCATTGAGTATAAAAATGAATCTATTCAGAGCCAACAGCAAGCCTTAAAAGATTCCTCCCGCAACCTCACACAGAGCGAAAACAGCATCATTGAAAAGTTCAGCTCTTTATCTGCTGCTGAGACGAGATCTATCATTGTTAGGTACTTCCAAAAGGTAGGAGCTGTTAACTGTTGCTCAATAGCCATTTCTCAAGGAGCTTCAAAAAATGCTACGTGAAAGCTACACATGTGTATGGTATCATTATGTATTCTATTGTGGTTTTTGTATGGTATCACCATGTATTCTAAATGCACACTCACCCATCTCCCAAGCACCATCAAACGACCAGAGACAATAAATATACTGACATTACATTAAATGCATTTATGAGTTTTACTAATGAAATTTGCAGATCTCCTGGTATATAGGAGTAATAGAATATAACTACACACATTTTAGGTTTTTTAAAGTTTTTGTCTGATTTAATGCCCAGATACCTGTTTTTTTTCCCGCAAAAAAACATAATCTAAATGAGTTTTGTAGTGAGTTATTATATATTTTAGCTTTTAAAGCAAACCATCAAAAAATTGAAACACAAACCTTCACTATTTTCAGCTTATGGAAAGATAAAACTATGGGGATAAAGTTGGGACTTCCTTAGTTTAAGAATATTAATAATCTGTGATGTGATGTGATTATGTATCTATAATCATTTCTGATCCTAGCTGGAGTTTAAAGTAAGAAAATGTCTTCATAATGTACATGACTGGTAGTTGTAGTAAAGCCGGCCTAGTACTGTGAAAGCAAGGTCTGCTGTTTAAATGTTAGCCCC